TCTTTCCCCCACAGATTTCCAATTTATGTTTCCATCCATGTCTAATTTCTCCAGTCAGAACCTTGTTGTTCCACTGATTTTCTACATCACAGGTCCCCGGCACTGTTGAACCTATGGAGACTTTTGGTGCTTTGAGAAGGGGAAGCAGGTGTCACTGCAAAATAGCTGCTATGGGGAAGGGCAGTCGCAATTTGGGAGCAGCTTTTCTGAATGGGTGTTCCTTAAAGCCTCAAAAGTGATGCCTCCTGGAGACTTCTAAAGCACCTTCTGTTCCAGGGCAACTGACTGGCCGCTGTATAGTACAGTATAGATTTATTCGATCAATGACCAGTAAAACCCATAAAATTACAAGTTACAGACAAAGGAAACACACACGCCAAGTCAACCATAATAACCAAAATACAGAAACAATATCAAATTAGCTAAAATTTGAATTCAGTACACATGATTTCCTAGTGCAAAAAAATTTGCACAACAGATTGTAGTCTGAAGGTTGTCACCCGTAAGGAACATCCTTAAAATATCATAGTCGGACTGTATAGTACAGTATAGATTTATTCAATCAATGACCAGTAAAAACCACAAAATGACAAGTTACAGATAAAAGAAACACACACGCCAAGTCAACCATAATAACCAAAATACAGAAACAATATCAAATTAGCTAAAATTTGAATTCAGTACACACGATTTCCTAGTGCAAAAAAATTTGCACAACAGATTGTAGTCTGAAGGTTGTCACCCGTAAGGAACATCCTTAAAATATCATAGTCGGAATGGCCAGGAAACCTTCTAAGCAATGGAAGAATAATTTTTAGGCAAATTTCCTCACTGGCACCACAAGGGCAAATTCTCTCTAGTAATGAAACAAGATGCTGAACCAGTGCTCTAATCCAGCAGGGCACTTCATATGTTCTTTATGAGGTGGGGTAAAGTGGAGGATGGCTTGATGCTTTCGAGAAGAGTTGCTTTGGGTAAGAAGCAAGTGAGTGCCAGGAAACATGTCAGCAGGCATTATGACACCCATGGGCACCAGGTTGGAGATCTCTGTTCTACATCTTCCCATTCACACCCATTATTACTTAAGTTCACTTTCAATTATCATTTGTTTTATCTGTTCTCCACTTGAGCAGCCACTCCTGGCAGTCAGTTCAGGTTGGAAATTTATATTAACTGACCCAGTAAGCTGCCCATTCTTTGAGACAATCCGTTTCCACCTGGATTCCACATTACATGAATGGCAGGGAAAATACAGTTCTCTGAGGGCCATTCACAATACAGAGTTACTTTTTTCTGTCTGAGCTAACAACCTGCATAGCAAAACTTGTGAACATTCCGTTACTTCCAAATGGTAACTCGTTGTGTGTTTACACTTTAGGACGGCTTGCTGTAGCTTGTACTTGTAACAGAGCTCTCATATGACTGCTTTGAGGAACATTTCAATCTAGGATGTCAGCTCAGACAAAAGACAAAAATGTCCTGACATACACTTCAAGGTCGTCTGACTCACCCTCAGTTGATCCTAAATCTCCTTCCCTCAAGATTTTCACCCAGTCATTTCCAACAGTTCTGAGCTGTAGAGGCCCTGCTTTTTCTTTCTTATTATTTTGCTTTCAGAACTGTACAATCAGATGCAAAGTAGATTTGACACACACACCCCCCCAATTCATCTTATGTTTCTTGTCTATTTTGAACATTCCTGTTCTAATTTGTTGAAAATCTTGTAGGTAACAAAGTATTGTTGTTACCTATGAGATTTGCAGGTAACAAGGTATTGTTCCTGTGTATACAGTTTTTGTGTGTAGTTTGAAGAACCCATCTGGCTGCTTGGAGCCCTGGGACATTGCGGGTCCATGATCAGATATTTCCCCGATCTGTAATTTAGTAAGAATGGCTATGGATTGGGTGTGTTGTGCTGGGAAAGGGGAAGTTAACTCCACCTTATGGAGTTAAAACTCAGTAGGAAAAAAAGGCACAATATCTATCTTTTCCTTTACTGTGGCTTACGGCAGCCTGGAAAGGGGGTGCGTTTTCAGTGTGGTAAAACATTAACCCATCTGTCACCAGAACCACAGCCCAAATCCAAATTGCCCCCTTCCGTGACTGCTTTTTTAAAATATTGAGATATTTGCAAGTTCATTCCCTGATGTCATGAAAGAGTTAACCTGTATGTTTGTTTATGGCAATTGTTAGTTAGCTTTAGAACCTATGAGCTTTCCTGCACGTAGTTCCCGCCAGAGTCCCATTCAGACCTTTAGCCTGGCTATTGGTCAATTCATAGTTGGGTGACGTTACCTGATATTTTGCATGTAGGCATTTAGGGGTTTCTTCTTCCTCCTCCCTTTGTTTAGAGATTAGAGTGTGAGTGTCCATCTTGGAGCTAACAGTAACTAGAAGGATGTAGCTAGATGGTTAGGCTGTTTATTGTTTTATCCTTAACAGGTAACCCTAATTTTATTAGTAAACTTTCTTTTAGCTAATTTACACATGTGTGCTGTGTGGTTCTCTTTTAATCTGCTAAAATATCCAACAAATATAATTGATAAAGTGGGTGAAATTCTTAACATAAAAGTGCATCACTTATAAAAATGCAGAAGAACAAAGTTTAAGTCCATTGGCATTTTTAAGACTTAACAAAGTTTTATTCTAGTTATAAGCTTTTGTGCACATGTAGAAGATTGCCCTGCCATTATTATATAATCAAAGTGTCATTTGCCAGAGATACTGCACAATGCTATGAATGTTGAATGAGTTCATTGGGATTTACTTCCAAATATATGTGTTTAAGGATTGCGGCCATGGTTACCTAGAGAAAGCATGTGTCTGTGTTTTGAGGGTCACTCCAGATTGGCAGGGGGGGGGGGTCGGCACTGGAAATTGCATGTTGCTGAACCTGATCCTGAGTGATCGGATCAGACTTTAGAATAATACCGAAGTAGCTTTCAATCAAGAAATTATATAAAAGCCGAAGATGACATATCATCGGGCAGAATAAATAATAAATAGGGCTGATAAAATGTGGACTGTCAGTGATCTAAAGTTTTTAT